TCTATTAAAACAAGGAAAATATATAAGAAAAAAAATTTAGATGATCTTTGCTTTGATGGAGGAAAACAATTGCAACTTGAATACCCCAAAGGGCCTTTAAAATATGAAAAAATTCAAAACAATTTTTTTTAATTCCTGGATATGATCCCACATGTAACATGCCTAAATGTGACATATGGGTTGCCAGAGTCTGTTTTTGGATCCCTAATTTTATTAAGTCCCCATTTCCCCCCCAAATCTCACTAGAGTTATGCATACAAAAAGGTGAACATGATGCAAAAAAAAAGGGAGAGGGAGTGCAATTTACTTAAAATAGAAACGCAAGTTAATCAACAGACCAGCAACATAAACAGCAAAAACTTTCAAAGTACAAAAACCCTTCCTTCAATCTCCAGGTTGCAGAGCCCTTTCCCCAGGCCCCTTCACTCACCTTGTATTCACAGCACAATGGAGAAGCAATATAGGCAGTTTTACTGCTCCCTAAATTAACCCGTTGGTCTCCCCATCACATGGAGAAGGAGAAACCAGTCACTCATGGGACCACTCTTTCATGATGTTGGTTCCTTTTTCCTTCTCATCTCAGCCCTTCAAACTTCCAGATTCTTTTCAGCTTGCTTCCTGCCTGACTTCCTAGAGGAACCTTCTCAATTGCAACACCAGAAACTTTTACAGAATTCAGAGCATGATAATTTCCAAAGAGCCCATTCCATTGTCCCCATTTCGGGACACAGACACCTCTTACATTGGCTCTGCTCCACAGCCACAAGTACTTTCCCTTGCACACTAACAGACAGTTTTGCAAGTGCAGGACACTGGTCACAAGGTTGATTGGGCAAGACAGCATAGATACATATTCAACAGTCCTAGAAAAACAATTCAAAGTACATGACCTACTGATAATGATGGTGAATTAATCTTCAAATAAGAAGCATAGCCTCATAGTGAAAATAACATTAAGAGAAAACATGCGTTCTAATTCAAGCTCTGTTATTAAACTCTGCACCTCCTATCTTAAATGCATGATCCAATATGTAGCTATCCTAGACTTTGAACCCTAGCCCAACCCCAGGACCCTGTCTCTAAGGACATATGAGCAGGAGTAAAAGGGTTGGTTACTTTCTCTGTGAACCAAGTGCTAAAGAGCTTGGGTGCATCCAAAGGACTGCATGGGATAGCATCAGGCTAACAGGTACAAGGGTATCACTGACCAGCTTCCTGGCCATTTCAGTATATGGAGGAAAGAGTTTGATTGTAATAGTTATGTACCGTGCTTATAGCTTTCTGTAAAGTGAATTCCTCTTGACAACCTTGTGAGGTACACTGTGCCAGTGTTATTATCCCCATTTTACAGATGAGCAAATCATGGTGTAGAGAAGCTAAGAAGTAGAAGGGACCTCAGAGGCTACCAGATGAGGAAACCAAGACCTAGGTAAGGTAAATGACTTTGCCAAGGTCATACAGGTTGTGTCAGAGGTAGGTACTGAACCCAAGTCATGTGATTCCAAGTCTAGTGACCTTTTCACTCTAACACATGAACGAATGAGGTGTGGCCCACTAACTGGGGGCAGTTTAAATTTAGCAGCAGAGTCAATATAGTCATAGTTCCTGGAGGATCACAGGATTTGGAGCAAGAGGTGACGTTAGAAATAACCTAGTTCAACCTCCTTATGTTATAGCTGAAACTGAAACCCACAGGGGTTAAATGACTTGTCTAAGGTCACACAAGCAGAAAATGAATAATGGGAGTGAAAAAGTATTAAACACTTAGGATGTGCTAAGCTTTCAGGATACAACTATAAACAGAGACATAGTTCCTATTTTCAAAGAACTTGTATAGGGAAAGCCAACATATATAAGGGAGTGGTAGTCAGGGAAGGGAATTTTAGTCTGATGAGTCACAGGAATGGTGAACTGATCTACAAGAAAAGCAACTGACATGATAGCAGCTAGGTGGTAGAGTGGATAGAGAACCAGTCTAAGAGTCAGGAAGACTCATCTTCTCCGAGTTCAAATCTGGCCTCAGACACTCACTAGCTGTGTGACCCTGGGCAAATCACGTATCCCTGTTTGCCTCAGTTTCCCCATCTGTAAAACGAGAAGGAAATGGCAAACCACTTGATAGGACCTTTCCAAAATTAAGGGTCCTATTGATTTGATTACTGAAGCCAGAGCAAGAGGTGGGACAAGAGCACACATGGACAAGGAAGGCAGATGGCAAGATGATCAGGGTAGATGATGGAAGAAGACATTTTGTCTGAGCTAAGTAAATGATTCTTCACTTAGTTACTAGAGGAAGACTGTGACCTAGAACCTTACAGGGAGGACTTAGGGGAGCCCAAAAAAAGAGGTACCTACTTTGCTCTATTATCTCCTGCCAAGGGTACATTCTAACATCCTACATTCTGTAAACTCTAAGATTCACTATAGTCAGACACAGTAGGTAAAAGCAGTATGAGTCCTGATTTGGAATCAGAGAGCTTGGTTCAAATGCTAGCTCTTCCAACCTGGTTGCTCACCTTGATTTCACTAATGTCTCCAAAAACTTATCTTCTTAAAAGATCACATCAACTCAGAAACTCACTCCTCCTCAGTACACCTTTAGGCCCCTCCCTCTCTCTGACTAGAGAGGGGCTCAGAGCATTCACCAAATCATTTAGCACCTGGCTGCAGGGCTTCCCCATGCCCCAGATTTGGGTGAGGAAAATCTCTACCAATCATGGTCAGCATTTTCTTGGCAACTTAACAGCCTTAACACTTGTCATTTAACTCAACTGTGAGAGAATGTGCTGTAACTGAATGTGCAGGGAGAAAATCACTACACAAACAATGGGAAGATGAAGCATGGCCACTGGTCCCTAGGAGGACTTAAGTTCCAGAGAACAGGTCTGATTTAAGCTTTACTAGTATTTCCATCCCTCTCCCCTTATCCTACCCAGACACATCAGTGTGCAGTGATGGGGAGAGACCAAATGTTAATAACCAATGCCCAGTGGTGTCATTACTGCATAACTACTATTCCAAGATGGGAGAGAGAGAAGATATATTGGTCTTAGGCAGGTCTGTTCAGGTGGCCTTTGGCTCATTAACAATGGTTTCAGAGCTATCCTCAGACATGTGTGCCTTCTCCACTTACTGAATGGTGTGCCTAACTAAACTTTAATAGCTTGTATTTATAGATAGTTAAAAAATCATTCTTATTTATTTACTTGGGCTGTGGGTGCCTACAAGCATAAGGCTATTACATAGAGATAATTCCCAGGATTTTAGCTAGAAGCTTGAGGCCTGAACTCCTCAGAGGATAATGATGGCCCCTTCAAGGGACAGCCGCCCCATTCTCTTCTTTTGATATAAAAGGGTATATTTTTTTTATAGATAAGCATTGTATTCCCTTACTTCTGAATGAATTTTGCAGTTTTCCCTTAGAATTATGGACAAACAAGAAAGGGGAGAGAATATGGTACAGTGGAAAATATATTGGATTTAAATGTTCAAAATCCTGGCTGGGTTCAAATCCTGGCTCTGCTGCTCACAATCTTAATCACCACCCCTTGATCAAGTCACCTAAGTTTTAGGGGTGCCCATTTCCTCATTTGTAAAATGGAGCTGCACTAACCTTCCACCTCTAAATCTTAATCTTATACTAAAGAACTTAAAACACCATTCAGACATAACCCATCTTGGAAAAGGGCTATGTGCTAAAAACCCATTTATAAGCCTTTGGAACTTTATTTTCCCATTAAAATCATCTCATTATGGTTAGACTCCCATGCTAGTCCTCCAAAACCAGTTTAAATCATGATACTGCTGAACAATCATGAATTGGACAAGTCACATCTTTCTGGACCTGTTTCTTCATATGAAAATGAGGGAATTACACTAGATGGTCTCTTTGGTGAAGGGACGGCCAGTTTTCAATGTCTAACAGGCAGTTCATGACATGGGACTGGAGCTCAGTGTAGTGTAGAGACCTGGGCTAGACAAAGACAATTTAACCAGAGCTAACAACCGTGGAGAATAAAAATCTGGAAAAATGGAAATGCATTTAACTATGGTCTGACCTGAACTTCTCATCTGAAAAATGCTAGAAAAAAGATATTGCTATATCATATTTTACTTTGATTATCTTTAGAAATTTATACACAGGGTCAGTAGGTAGCTAAAAAAGGGAAATGACAAGAGGGTGGTATATGAATACAAATTACAGTAATACAATAGCACTTCAATACTTTCAATTCTTTTTATCCCAAACTTAAAATAAACTCTTCATCCTCTGCCAGTATTTTAGAGGCTTAAAGACTCTAAATTTTTTTTCACGAGCCAAAAAGTAGGTGAAATGTTTTGAAAAGGAAATATTTTGAGTTTTTCTATTAGTCCTGACAAGCATCAGTATGTTTACCAAAATTTAAAGTCTTAACCTTGGTTGGGTTTATAAAGAAATAAACAGGAATTTTTCATTTGTTCTGTCCTTTCTACTTTGAGATAAAAATGATTTTCTGAGATCTAGTTTTCTAATTATACTATCTATTACCTTCTTTAACTAGAAGGGAGTGGCTTAAATTTTCCCCAGCAATTATAGTAGTTAATATGAATTGGTTTTAATTATAGTCCATTCTTCTCAATATCTGGGACCACAAAACACAATTATGATAAGAATTGTCATTATTACGGTAATATTGTCATCAGATCTTGTAATGAATGCCACTCATTTCATTATTATTAAAAGACTTTAATAAAAGAAATCACAGAGAAAATAAGTATTTAAATTTATACTGTATTATCTGTTAGGTCCCTTCAGGTCAGTACTTCACTGTTTTTGGCCAGAGGTCCATCACAGACTATCTTTGATAGTCAAGTCTGAAAGCTTCAAAGGACTTTCTTCAGAAGAAACAGAAACAAAATAGTTTGATGCATTTTTTTTCTCAAGTCCAACAAAATGTATTCTTACCTTGCCCACTGTTTAGTTTTTTTAAACAAAAACAAAGGAAAATCACACAAGCCAATATGCTCCAATCCATGCATCCTTTATTCCATTACAACCACTGTGTTGCATTAAGCAACAGTACACAAAGTGGCAATCAACCCCAATCAAATTTTACAACATTCTGAGGCTTGCTTACAGTACATTTAAGGCCTTTAAATCTGGGGAAAAAAACACATACAACAACAAAAAAAAAAATCCCAACCCCCAACCTATGAGTAGTGTAACAATTTTAAATGTCTTGCATTTCTGATGCATATTCTGTGCCATTCCAGTGTCAAAAACCAAATGACTTCTAAACTAAGATTAGTTTAGTGAAACTTTTAATTACATAAATTCATTAAAACATAAATGTATAATTTATTTTTTGTCTTGGAAACATTATAAAAATTTTAATAGCAAAATAACAGGGATAAAAACATATTAACAAAATGTATTCAATCATTTATAAACAAGAATTTTGCAGTTTGTTGTTGTAACTTGACTTAAATGAAAATTACCAATTAAGAATCTATGCACAATGTAAATTCAAATATGTACAATCTTTTTAAAAAGTCTACAGGAATGCTTTACAGAAGGAAAGTCTGCTATGGCTCTTTGTCAGACCAATCAGACAATCTGAATATTAAAACTGTTTGCTAGTAATAAATTTACACTTTAAAAAAACATTTAGTTTCATTATTTTTTCTTTGAGAATATTCCAGTTATATTTATATAGTTATAGTTGATAAAATATGTTGGTGATAACTCCATCATGTATTTCTTACATTTCAGGGGAAAAAGTAATCTTTTAAATGGTTTGCTTGGGGAAAAAAATCAGTACATTAACAGGAACTATTGAGAGAGAAAATTTCATCCTGATAAGCTTTCCAGTTACAATACCACAGCTAAAAAATTCACAAATTAAACACTACTCCCTTAGATCAAAGCCAAGAATCCATTTAGTAGAAGCTGTAGTTAGACAAAATCAGTATTCCAAATACTGAGAACATTGGATTAAAAAAAAAAGTCTTGCATGAAAGAATCATAAATGATCAGACGTAAGAGAAAACTGATCGTGGGATATTTCATATAGCACTAGAAAAGTGTCCCCAAGTTCAGCTATCATTTCCACTTTCTCCAAGGTAATGAAGCTGAAAAGTTACAGCTGTTTATCACATTATGTGCATTATAGACTGATTTCCATATACAAAAGACTGAAATTTCATCAGATATTTGATTAGAATACCCTAAAGATTGGGCATTTCTTCAGAGTTTTAAAGCCATTACAGCTATCCAGTTTAAAGCGTGTGCAAAAAGATAATTCTTCCATTCACAGTAAATGAGGTAAAATCAAGTATCCTTCTTCAGGAATTGGGGAGTTCATGAGAGATGAACTGTTTTAGTCTTTCCAGATATTGTGCATAAAGCTCTATGTCATTATGCCCTGCCCCTTCTACCCAGAGGGGCTCTACTGCTCGTGGGCATCGCTCATACATTGCTAGACCATGAGAAAAATCTATTACCTCATCCTCTGTACCATGAATTACCAAAACTGGAGAGGTTACTTTAGATATCTTGTCAATGCTGTAAAAGAGAGGAAAAGAGAAATTAGTTATGCATATATAGAAAATATTTTATTTTTTGTTGGCAAATTAACATATGCACAAAACAAATTTTTTTTTCCCTTCTAAAAGCTTCTATAGGTTGTTAGAAAAATAAAGTTGTAAAGTGACATCGTGGGTTTATTGATACCTGCATTTATGCAATGTTACTACAAAGCAATAAGATTGCCTTTTACATAAACATACATATAACTTGTACATTCAAATGAATGTTGGATCCCTCCAATTATTTTGACAATACTGCCCCCAACACCCACCAAAAAACAAAAACAAGTTTAGACTTCCTTCTTTGGAACTGCCTTCAAAGACAGGTCATAAACCATAGAAGAAAATTATTGCCGATTATAGTCAGGCCTCATTTCAGATCCCTAAGTGTATTAACAATTCGATGTACCTGATTTATCACACTTGGATCCAAATGATTTTTGGCTGTTTCCAAAAGTAAAATCCAACTTCAAAAGGTGCAAATTTGCCTCTGCTGAGACAATTCAAAAGAATATGCCACATACATTAAGAACATTCTCAAAAGAGGTGTTCCAAAAATGACGTGAGGAATGGTAGTGACTTGAATTAGCTTCCCAATGGGATTATTTTAATTCATTTACTTCATAGGGGACTACACTCTTTACAAAACTAGTCTCATTAACTAAATCACACTTTGTGTAAATCAGAAACAGAGAATGACTCCTCAACAGGTCCTTCTTTTGCTTCATGTGGAGAGAGCAAATCTATTACAATCTACTTTTTTCACCTTTGGCTTCTCCAAAGCGACCAAAAAGAGAGTAAACTGGAATCAGCTATGTGGATAGTACTTAATCTGAAAGTATTTACCAGAAGTGGTTTAAGATGAGCCATATGCTCTAAAGATCTACTAAAAACTTATCAAGTATCCTTTAGTAATTAATCACAAAAAATTGTTCACTTTTTCATGTAGTACTTTGAGAAATGATAAGAAGTTGCCAAAGTTCACTAATCTCCAATAGCTATATTGCCATTTAAAAACCAGACTTGCCCTTAGACTCATATCTACACTTAGAAGACAGGTTTGTGAAATTTACTTCTATTTCTAGAATTCTCCATTCATTTCTAGAACTGAAGTTCTGGAAATTTTAAGTACTGGAGATATCAATTGTATTTATTTCAAAAAGTACTGATTGAGTTTATTCCATGCACCCATGATTGCTTAGTTACATGGAGTAAGGAATAAACTGTCTAGAGGTCCTGGGACAAACAATTGATATGAAATTGATTTAACTGCTACATGATTCTAAACCCAAGAAAAAGATGAAAATTAATAAAAAGACAACTAAATATAAGTTTTTATTTTAATAAAAATAAATTTTAAATTATCTTTCTAAAAGAGCTAAACATTCAGACACATGTATGCATGTGCGCACACATACAAAAAACTGACATAAGGAAAGAATTTGGAACTAAACATGTTAGCAAACAAGGAACACTAAGTAAAATGTCAAAAGTAAACATGGAAAATAGGGAAATTAAATGTAACTTCAAGTGGTTTGAAGTTTTCCAGCTTTCAAAATTTATGGCACTGTTAATAAGGAACTGGCCTATTTTTACTTAATATTGCTGAAAGAAGCAGAAGCTTCTAGTATGAATAGGGAAAAAACACTTGAAAAGTTAAATGTTTAATTTAAAGGAATAAGGCTCTTTTGAGTCATTACAAAAATAAAACATTACTTTTATTCATTATAGTGACATTTTTAAGTTAAATTTTTGAAGGCAGAAAAAAACTGGTCATTTTACATATATGTAGCTAATGACATTTCTTCATGAAGACATATACTGCATAATATTTGGGGTTTTTTTTTTTAAACAACAGCTTCTACTTGTCAACTTAACAGCATGTAAGACAATGTATAAAATGAACATCAGTGTTATAAGCATTCCCAGCCACACCATCCTGGAATTAGAAATCTACAGACAAGATTGTCATTAAATTTTCATTCAATCCTAGTGTAAACGAAACATAACTGAAACTATACATAATTGAAATTCATCAAAGTTGAATCCAGAAGTATTGCTACTGTATAATTAAAGGAGCCTGAGGCCTATATATTCATGTAACTAAATAAATGATCTTCCAATGTTCTATTAATTAATCTCATAATTATAGTAATTAATGAATCAGTTTAAAAAAAAAACCAAACACCGGCTATAGAGTACTGTAAGATTTTAGAGTTTTTAAACATGATACCTTGACATACCTAGCTCAATTATTACATAATCTTGGAATAATGATGCTTTAACATGGAAAATTTCCAGGGAGAAAACTGTATTTGAAAGTGTTAAAATACATCTCTTAATCTAGACAGAGACCATATTGTAGTTTTGAACTATATGAAAACTACTCAACAATTCAAGAAAACTATTTGATAAGAATAATTTATTCACTTCTTTTTGCTCCTATTAGCTGACAATGAGAAGACAGTAAGGTATTTATTTCCCTTGGTACAGGATACAAGTCTGCAGCAACCCTGTGGTTTTAGCTCTATTCTAGTAAAGCCCATGGGTGGGACAATACAAACTGTGAGAGTCAGGAGCTCTCTGAAATTTAACCTGGCCTGGGATCACCCTGGCATTTGGAAAATCTCTGGATAATCAAGTTCCTCATTGGGTCAGGGATTTTGGATGAAATGGGAGGTGAAAAATCTACTAGTCAGCAATTCTGATAAAAAAACTCTAGAAGCTGAAACTAATTGTTAAAAAGAAGTTTGCATAAATATTAATTATAGTATTATCAAATTTTGATTAAATAACATGCAGCTGTTTATCAAGCAACCAATCCTGCATTAGCATGATTATTATGCCAATTTTCAGATAAGGAAACTGAGTCTTGAAGAAGTAAAGTTGCTTGCTTCAGGTCAAACAGTAAGTAGCAAAAATGGAATTCAAAATTAGGCCTTCTGACAATTATTCCTATCTTCTATTATCAATGTGGTCATTATTTCATTTAACATTTTGGCTATTCATTGGCATAAATAAAGATGATGCATTTTCTTTTGTCTATATTATACTGAATGTACAAACAAATTGGCATTTTATAACTACTGGTGCACATGTAATAAAATAGGTATGATGAGTAGTGTGTTGAGTTTTAAAATTTGTACCATTCATTTGGCAAGTAATCATATACTAACACCTTGTCACATAATTTCTATTTAAGTTTTCTTGAGTTTCTGTCTTTCCAACTAAAATGTAAAATTCTCAAGGCAAGGGCAGTATCTTCTACTTCTTTGTAAATTGTGCAGAGCCTCATGCATATCAAGTGCCAAATATTTGTTGGTTAGTATTATTATTATCTGATTTATGAATTCATACCTACCTTGGAAAAGCATCAAAGCAGTATGTTTTCCTGGTGTCAGGAAAAGCCACTCGTAGACCAGACATCAAAGGGGAATGGAGGATTACAGCTGCACATTCATATCGAGATGCCAGATCTACTGTAGGGACAGTTCCAATACTTTGACCATACAGGATAATGTTCTCTGGACTTACACCATACCTGGAATTTTTTTTTTTAAAGTTTAAGTTAATGGTCAGAAGAACAAAACACCCAACCCCCCCTCCATCAAATTCACAGACATAACCACTTAAGCCCACAAATTGCATCAAATTCACAAGATCAATTCACAAGACCACATTTACCTATTCCCTGGCCATCTGCTGGAGCTAACTCACCATTTTCCCAGTTCTGAAAGCTCTTTTTAAATCAGCTTTGCCCCTGTTCCTAGTGGCATATAGCCACACTCATCATTCCTACAACTTTCTGGATCAAAGCGTCTCTCTCTGGCCACCATTACCTCTGTGTGTTGTCTGCCTTTTGCCTCTTTCTTTTCTATCTCTAGCAATTAGCACAATGCTTAATAAGTACTTAATAAATGATTTTAAAATTCATTTTAATCAACAATGAAGTTTATGATACACAGAAACATGGTGAAAATGTGTATTTAGCTCTATTTCAACTAAAATGGAGTCTTAAATACACTACAAAAATCAGAGACTCAATGTCTTTTTAAGACCCTTTCAATAAAAGAAATGCATTCCAAATTTCATTCCTCTATCCTTTACGTTTTCCAAAATAGTAATAAACATCTCTAATACAAAATAAAAAAGAATAATAGCAAGTCTAATATACTGCTTTCCAAGGTGGACTTTTAATAAAATACTAATATAACAATCATTTGTTAAGTAAAAGTGAAATAGATGCTTTTTGAAAACAGAAGTCATGTGTCCTTAACAAATCCAGATTCTTCAACCCTGTACACATGCTTGTCTGCTCAACTAAATTGTAACTGCTTGAGGAGAGGGACCATGCCATTTACTACTTTGGTACCACCCTAAGACACTTAATGTAGTGCTAAATATATAATAGGTGTTTAACAAATAATTGCAATAACTTGCATGTGTTTAACAAATAATTGCAATGACTTGCCAACTCTGTCTGAGCCAGGGAATCCCAATTTCTACCCCAGAACTGTGTAACAACAGTAGGTTCCCTTAGGCTTTTGGGGGAAAAAACAGGGATTCAATATTTGTAAATAGGAAGCAATATTATGTCCTTATATCCTGGAGACAGTGTAGTTTGTTGGGCATCCTATGCTGTGAAATTACAGAAGTTAGACTTTCCTTCTTATGGCAATGGTATCTCCAGGTATGGAAAGGAACCACATTCCCTACAAGGCATAACATTTTTTGCCAATATTAAAGATTTTAGACTCTACCAATATAAATAAGTTACGTTTTCCTTTTATTCTCTGCCACCAAAGGAGAAACTATAATTATTTAGCATTTGCAAGGCAATTTTCACTTTTCAGCTCAATCACCTAATATTATCACCTTTCATGGAATTTTCTCCCTCTTGTTCTTTAGAATCACTGAATGTCAGAGCTAGAAATGAGCTGAAAAATCATGCAATCCTCATTTTACAAATGAGTACTGAGACCTCAAACTGTGAATTAATTTTCCTAAGCCACATAACTGATGGTGGCAAAGCTGGGATTATAATCCAATTCCCTCTGTATTTAGTATTCTTTCTACTGTTCCTCTGAATGCCCTTTGGTTATCTATGTCAATGAATTCACAAACTGAGTGAATGAAAGAATTAATATGCAGAGTCACATTTGTGTTACAAGACAAGACACTTTTTCTCCCACTTTCTTTCTCTATTTCCTTTCCTCATAATATTTCCAGGCTCTATTGTGAGTTAGGTTTTTTTTATAAGCTATTCTGGGATCTTAAAAAATAATAAATAGCATTATTTTAAGGGGAAATATATGCTGTGATACTTTGTGGCTTGGTGAAACAAGTGTCCATTTCTCTCCTGTCATCACTGTGTAAGAAGGGAACACAGCAGCTTCTGCTCTCTGAGATAGAACAAAACCTGCTTCCAATGCAGGCCACTCAATTCTTATGCTAGTATAAGACTTTGTAAAATACATTCTCTCAAATTAATCAATCAAGACTACTTCATCAGAGAGGGGAAAAAAACCAAATCAAATCTTCCAGACAAGTGATTTCAATTTGCTTTAATATAATTTGGATCAAATACACATGAATAACATTTTAATGTTAAAGGCACAATATTTAAACTTTTTAATCTAAACTAATGCTAATTAGGGAGGAATTTTTTTTGGTAATATATTAGAAAACTACTAAAAAAAACCAACCCTACTCAAATCTAATTTAAAATGGATTTACCTTGTCATGTATAATAAGTGTTCTCTGTTTGCACATGGTTAGTTTTAATTTAAAATTTTAAGATGAAATGCCCATGTAGTAAAGGCAGACAGAAGTTTGACCTCCATGTTAAGAGAAGGATTTTCCTTAGTATTATATATAAATTATTCCTATACTAGTAGTATGGTCTACATTACTCCACAAAATATCTGCCTAGTTAAACCATGAGAATAACTCCAAATGTTATGGAAATGTTTCCTAGACATTATAGAATTGCAGGTAACGCTATGGAAAACTCAGAAGTCTATTTTTAGAAGCAAAATCAAGAAAGGCAGATTTGAAATAAGGCAATATCAATAACTGTTTCCCAAGACCTACTTTTGTTGTTTTGCTTTCTTTACTTGTAATGAACAACTGTTTCACACTGGTAACATAGTATTGCTTAGAAAAAATTATATCTGTATAAGTTTGAATAGTTGCCTACATTACATTTTTGGTTTTTTTTTCCTACATCAGAGGACAAAGGAACACTTCATCCATGAGTCATACATACTATCTTTTTTACAAAAAAGTATCAATGATGCCACTTTCCAATATAACCTGCCACTTAACACTTCTATTTCTAACAAAGGAATAAAAAACAAAAAACAAAAAACAGCTAAGCAAAACCTACTATCACATCTAACAGTATACCCTCATTCTGCACCATTGGCCCTTAGCCTTTCAATGAGAGGGAGCTGCATCTCCTTACCTCTTTTTTGGGGCCACACTGGCTCATTAAAATTATAAAGCATTAGGTTTCATTTTATTGTTCTCATAATTTACATTATTACAGTTACTCTTCATATGAGTTTCCTAGTTCTGCTTACTTTAATATTGGCCCCCTCTCCCCCAACTTCTTCAAGAAGAAATGGCAAACACTGATTCTTCTCAGTCATGGGAAGGTAGCCCTCGGGGGTTGGGACAAAAAGATAGGAAGCTGCAGAGGGGGCTAGAGAGGAAATAACTTTTGTGAATGAGGGAAAGGCAATCAGAAACCCAAAGGGGTCCCCACACTATGCTAGGAGGCTGACGATGCTTAGTTTTTGGAGTCTGTACGAAGAGGGAAACCAGAATTAAACTACTAGAGATATAAGAGAAAGGAAGAAAAATCAGAAAAACAAGAGGTAAAAGCTAGATATAAACCAACTCTCAATCAGATAAAACAAAAAGAAGGAAAAATGAATAAAAAAATCTAAGAGAGGCCAGAACATAATAAACAACTACTATGCTATAAAGGAAAACGAACCAAAAATTCCTGATGAAAATAAAGCTCCATGGACTCTCCAGAGATCATAAAACAACTGAAATTTCAGAAGAGTTCAGAAGAGGAAAAACATTTTAAATCAGAGCTCTCAGTGCAGAATTAAAGAAGTCAAAATGGTTAGAAAAAATCAGAAAATACTGTGCAGAGCAAATGACATCTGGAACCAAAAAAAAAAAAATTAAAAGTAGAAGGAAATTTGGCAGGAGATGCAAAAAGCAACAACTTTAAAAAAACAAGTGAATTCTCTATAAGCTAAAGCAATTGACGACAGGATGTGCAAAGATTACAATGATCATAGGTCTTCCAGAAGAACATGATAAATACCCAAACTTGAATATCTACAGTTGGAATTAAAGTAAGAAAATTGCCCAGTACTTTTGAATAGACAACAAAATACCGATTGAATCTACAGATCACCATTTAAGAAAAATCCCATGCTTAAGAATCCAATGAACTACTTCACAATTTCTATAACACAACATTTTGCAAGCAGTGAAAAGAAAAATATTTAGCTATTAAGTAAGGCAGGAAGAAGAAGAAAACAAGCAATATTAAGCACTAATAAGTGCCAGGTATTGTGATAAGCACTGAGGAAACAAACATAAGCAAAAAGAGAGTCTTTGTACTCAAGGAGCCTACATTCTAATGGGGAAAGACAAGACACAACAGGGATCTGAAAAGCAGAATGGCTGGGAGTAGGGGAGGAAACCTGCCTGTGCCCCTCCACAAAAGGTAAGCTCCTGGAAGAAATAACCATTGGGAGAAGGGGATGGGTCTTACAGAGGACTATTCAAGGTGAGAAGACCTAAAGGATAGTTGGATTTTCCAGGGTCCTACACCAAGGGAATGAGAAAGTGGCAGAGGCTTGGTTTTGAAGCCCAAAGCCAGGAGGGAAAGGAAGGCTGTCACATGGAACCTCCAAAAGAAGTTCATTACTGAAAACACCATATAGGAAAGACAATTAGAGGATCATTCAAACCACAAAACACCGAAGAATAGAATGGGGGAATAAAGCTAAGGAGCTCAAGATGCAATCCAAAATAATGTATTCTATAAAGTTGAATCTAGTTATTAATGAAAAATAGTAAGTCCTTCAACAAAGAGGAATTCGAGGCAGTCTTGTGAAAAAACTCAAAAGTGAGCAGAATATTTTGACTTACTGGCCAGAGAAACAAAAGATAACAAAATACAATTATCAAGGAAAAAACTAAGTAGTATAAACAGTTCTCTTGTGTTTATAGACAATTTAAAAAAGAGAAAAGCTGAACTAGGAGGAAGGAAAGAACATATATAAAGATTGTTGGGGGAAAAAAGGACCTGATACCCTACAGATTCAAGGGGAATTTATAGAATCAAAAGAAAGGAAGGAAGAACTGATTTAGTACACTTTGTATTAAATCTCACACCCCTCTATAAGAAAATCAGTATATTTTGCAGAAGGGTTAACACAGCAGGAAATGTCACTAGGGAGAAGGAAGGTATGAGAAAGAGGGGCATTGGAGACAGACTTCCAACCAGTC